GTGAAGAATAATGTTTTGCCACAAATGAACTCTAAAAACCTTAGATTTTCTTTGTTACCACAGCCATGAAATAGTGATTCTGTTGTGCAGCCTGTTTTCTCTGCCTTCCATCTCTGCAGGTGCTACCAGTGTGTCCTAGCACCCCTCAGCAGAGACCTGCTCCTACTGTAGTCATGAGTCCTTTCTTACTAGCTTCTAATGAGTCAGTAATCATTTCTATTTGTTACGCCCCTGCTATGTGCTGGGTGCTGGGAGGAGGAAAAGAATATAAACCTAAGTTCTGGTCTTCAAGATACTTAGGATCTAGGTAAGTAGCTTTAGTTACCAGCATACGCTCAGCCCCTGGCATATTATGGGGGAAACAGTAGCAGTGCTAAAACATTGTTGAGAAAAATCAAAGATGTGAGAGACAGAGAGGAAAGGTGAATAAAATGAAGGCAAAGGAAAATGAAATATACCAGGAACTGCTGTAGCTAGTGGAGGTCAGGGAAATGAAGAGCTACCAGGGGCAGGCAATGCTCTGAGGTCTTCCCTGTGGAGGTAGAATTGCTCCCCTAAGCCATGTCAGGTGTCCTTCCCTGGTTATCTAGGACTCAGTATCGTTCACCAAAGCTCTGAGCTAGACTGAGAGGCTAGGACGGAACCTGCCCGCATGTAGCACCCGCACTACAAGGAGATGCAGATTGCAGCTCTAGGCCAGCTCCAAGGCAGAGAGGTTACGCCTGCTCAGAAGCTGGAGCCCTTGGGTTGGCAGGTGGTGTGCAGTTAAGATGCTGGATCCCACGTGGCTGACTCTGGTTCTCCACCAGACCTAGCAGCTTGAAAATCACACCAGGCGTGCATGTGTACGCACAAAACCCTGAGAGGAGATGCAGGAGAAGGGATTTTGGCATGGCCATTCCCCCTAGTGGGGTGATTTCTCTCTCTCTCTCTGTCTGTCTCTGTCTCTCTCCAGCAAGCCCACATGCCCTGTGGTCCTAAAAACATAGACAGACAGATAAATGACTGCATGGATGGATGCTGGATCCCAGTGGTGACTGCAGTTCGAATCCCCAGCCTGGCCATCCTGAAACACATTGGGCTCTAGCAGCGAATACCCAAAAGACAGAGACAGCACCCACCAGGGGCTTCAGGTCGCGATCCAGCCCCAGGTCACAGCTCATGAACCCAAACCTCCCCACGGGGGTCAGTCTCACAGAGGGGTCGTGCTTTACCGTTGCCGTAATCTGGCCTCATGGATGTGACCCATCCTAAACGTCCAGGGGCACAGCACAGAGGAAGGAGACGGCCTGGACTCTGCCCCGGCTGGGAGACCAGCAGTCAGGACTGACCGAGGGCTCGGCTGGCCCGGCAGGACTGGGCGGCCCCCAGGGCTCCGTCATTGCTGTGAACGCTTTCTGTTCACAGACCCGTGGCCCAGAAGCTGTGCCCTGGCACCATGGGGTGCAGCTCTGTAGAACCAATTCTTTCTGAGGATTGCAGGGCTTCTCAGAAGCCAGGATCAGCGCCCATGTTACTCTCTAGGGCCTGGGCCGCAAAGCCAACCCCGTGTGCTCACTTTCCTAGGGGCGGCCTTCTAGCCTCGGCTCTGCTCTCGGAAGCTCTGAGGTCATGGATAAGTCCAAGCAACCAAGGAACCAGTGGGTGGCATGGTAGTTGGGGCGCTGGACTCCTACATGGCCAACCGCGGTTCGAGTTCTGGACCTGGCGGCTTGCTTTCTCGCTTTCTCCTCCTCTCTCTGATGACTACAGCAAGTTAAAATTTGATAGTAATAACTAATTCTCTTAAAAAAAAGGGGGGGGGGCAAGGGAGTAAGGGGTTAACCTTACCTCAGAGGCCCCCGGAGTCAGAAGTGCCCCCAGGTGTGTGGGGTTGGTGGCACTGACTCCTCAGCCTCTGGTGGGTGCTAGGACTAGGGTACTGGGCTGTGAGGAACGGCGGCGTGGGCCGAGTTCAGCGTCTTCTGCTCTGTCACAAACAGGACATTGAAGCAGCCTCGGTGTCCCCGTCCGTAACCCCTGTCCAGGGTTGTTTTGAGCAGTCGTGCCAATGCCCCCCCTTGAGGGGACTCCTGTATGTGACGTTGCACAGGGGACTCCTAAAATGATCTGTGACATTTAGATTTTCCCTAACTGTGTAAGGTCAAGGTTATTCACTTTCTAGGTGAAGAAACAGGCTCAGAGTGGTTGAGGCATTTGCCCGAGGTCTCAAAGCTGGTATGAACAGCAGGTTGAACTGTGAGCTGCAGCCCCACAGTCCCCATAAATGGCGTTTCTGGGACAGATTTTCGTGCTCCTAGCTGGGCACACCTGGGGGATGGGGCATGCCGGCAGGAAGGTGCTGGGAGAACCTTCAGTTTCTGTGGGCGGGGTTGTAAGGAGGGATCACCCTGTGGAGTTCAAGTTTCAGGTACATGCCCCCGGACTCCGGACAGCCAGGGTTCGAGTCCCAGCCCACACCAAAGCTGGGCACTTACAGCCGCAGACCCTGGGGAGGCAGAGAGATGTCGAGCTCAAGGCTGGCCGGGGCAGCGTAGAGGCCTGTCAGAAAGCTAGGCGTGGTGCACACACCTGCGGTCAGCTACTTGGGAAGTTGAGGCAGAGGACCGTGTCACAGCAAGACCCTGCTGGAGACCTGCCCACCCCCCGCCCACATGCACGCACATGCCAGGTATTCACAAAGAATGGGCAGAGCTCTGCAGGTTGGCGGGGTGGTCTCCTGCATTCTCTCGTTACATTTATGTGGAGGGGTTACCTCACTTGTATTATTTACTTATTTGTTGGTTTGCTTACCATTGGGTATGCACTTGCTGGGAAGAGAGAAATCACCCTTCCAAGGGACATGGTCTCATGCATTCCCTTCTCCATCCTCGGGATTTGGGGTACACATGCACATGCACCCTGTGTGTTTTTCTTTTCTTTAGGCTTTTACCATAAGGCGTATGTGTTCAGCAGATAGAGATGGGGGGGGGTAAAAAATCACACCCCCAACCCCAGGAGGATGGCCACGCCACAGTCCCTTCTCCAGGATTGTGGGTACTTACACACATGCGCCTGGTATAATTTTCAGGCTGCTAGGTCTGCGTCTTGAACCACACAGTTGGTCATGTGCCTTAATCTAGTGTTTTTTTTTTAATGTTCTTTCTATGGGTGAGACTGAGCAAGAGACAGCACCCAGCAGGTCCCAGTGCTGCCCCTGCCCTGGCCGGCCTTGGGTCAGGAGCCGCTGTGTGCCCGGCATGCCGGGCAGCCCGTTTTGTGCAGTGCCACTGCGTGGCCTCCTTGTTAGGTAACGCCACACAGGAAGTGCAAGAATGCCCTGTTAGAAGGAAGGGCACCTGGAAATGCCCGCCTCTGCTCGTCAGTGCAGGGGAAGTGCGAGAACGCCACAGAAACCAAGGAGTGCAGCGACCTCCCTGGGGGAAGAAGGGAGGCAGAAAAAGCACAGGGGGTGGGGGGACCAGATTTCCGAGAGTCAGCAACATTCCACCTGCCCCAAAAAGCATACGTAGGGGCCAGCAGGTGGTGTGGTGATTAAGGGCTTCGGACTCCCGCGTGGCCTACTGTGGTTCGGGTCCTGGACCTGGCGACTTGCTTTCTTTCTCTCACTCCGTCCCTTGGACCAAATTAAAATAAACTTAAATAGAATAATTCTTAAATTTAAAAAAAAAAAAAAAAGGGCCAGCAGCAGTTAGCATAATGGCGTGGCCATTCCCTCTGAGGGGTGATTTCTCACTTTCTGTCTCTCTTACTTTCTGGTGAGCACCCTACAGTAAAGGTCTCCAGTAATAATAATAATAATAAGTAACCAGGATGTGGAGGAACCAAACCCGGAGGAAAAAAATTAAAAAGGGTTGCAAGGTGGGAGAACTAAGTGAGCCGGGGTCAGCAAACTTGTCCTGAAAGGGGCCAGAGAGGGACGTGTGGTCCCTGTCACTGCCGGGGCCAGCTCGGCATGAACACGCTTCTCTGAGTGGGCAGGGCTGCGGATTAGAAATAGACACAATAACGCACACACAGACACACAGTATAGAAAGGCGAGGATCGGGTGGGCGCAGCTGCTCTGATGGAGAAGTCGCGACCAGAACCAGCCTCAGGCTTATTCTTTTCAAGGGCAGAAAATGGGGGAAGGGGAAATGGGGTGTAAAAGGAATGGGAAGAAGGAAGTGGACTGGGAAGAGAATAAGGGAGGAGGAATCGGGGTGCAAAGCCAGTTTTTGGATGTAAATCGCCTGAGCATCTGAAAATGGCGGCCGTATAACTGGCCTAATCTTTTTGGGGGACAGTCTGATAAAGGCTTGTGACTTCCTTTAGCCAGTGCTGGGCAGTATGGGGTGTTGGCTGTCAGCAACAACAGGAAGACAGCCGTCGACAGCAGGCAGGTACTGCTTTCGTATGTCGATGCTTCTCATAGCCCTGCTGGAGTAGCTTACGGAAGCGCGTGTCTGCACGTGTCTGCGGGCCACATGTTCTCATCACATGTTTTCAGACCAGCTGCTCCCCACAGATCCCCTTTTCCTTTTCCTAGTTTGAGTTCGGCCCTGCCATTGAGCTCTGAAGCAGCCACGGAGGGTCCCTGAGTAGTGAGTGTCCTGGCCGTGCTCCGGCGGGCTATTGGCAGACGCCGGACCCACCGTGCTGGTGGGTCTTAGAGAATGCTGTCTTCAGCCTCTCGGCCGTACAGCTGGTACCGTGAGGGTGGGAGGGCCGCAGCCAGGACCGACGTGCGCTGGTTCCGCTGGGCTCTGCACACAGACACCTGGCGTGGAAGCCACGCTTCGTCCTGCCCGGCTCGTGGACCCTGGACACATGGCCAAGCCTCTCAGCCCCGTCTCCCCGTGTAGAATCGCAGCGTCACTGGCTATGAGGCAGAATTTGGGTTGACCCACCAGGAGAAAGGGCAGTGCCGCGGTGCGTATTCTCGGAGCGGGGAGGAGTGAGTCGATGTGAGAGGCTGCTGTCGGCGGGCCCTCAGCCTCAGGGCCGCGTTGTGCACCCAGGAAGACCTCCGCGTGGACGGCCGTGGCTGTGAGGACTACCGCAGCGTGGAGGTGGAAACGGACGTGGTGTCCAACACCAGTGGGTCTGCCAGGGTCAAGCTGGTGAGTACCGTGGCCGGCTGGAGACACGGGGCGGCCCCAGGGGGCCAAAGGCAGAACCCAAGCTGAACTCGGGGAGGGTGTCTCTCCGGGCCTGAGGACCGCTCACCTCACAGGCCACTTCCCAAGTCCCGGCACAGATCCTAAGAGGGCCCCAGGGTGCATGTGTAGAGAGGGGCCGGGGCTGGGGCCAGGCTGCCTGCCCTGAGTGAGGCCCTGCTCGCTGTGCCTGCAGGGCCACACGGACATCCTGGTGGGAGTGAAGGCAGAGATGAGCACGCCAAAGCTGGAGAAGCCCAGCGAAGGCTACTTGGAGTTCTTCGTGGACTGGTCAGTACCTGCAGGTGCTTGCAAAGAGCAACGGTGTAAAGGGCGAAGGGTCTGGCCCAGATGGTGTAGCAGTTCCGTCACTGGACTCCCACGTGGCCGACTGCAGTTCCAGTCTCAGAGCCAGTGGCTTGAAACTCACACCAGGCATGTGTGCATGCGGACCCAGGGTCCTGGGAGGAGAGTGGAGGAGACAGGATTGTGGCGTGGCCATCCCCCCAGGGAAGTGATTTCCTTCTCTTTGTCTCTCTCCCTGGCGAGTACACATGCCCTGAGGGGGGGGGGAGACACTTTAAGAGGAAAAGAAGACGCAGAGTCATGCCGAGGCCCCCGGTTTCCTGTTAAGCCTGCTCCCCCTCTTTATTTCATCACGCAGCTGTCCGGCAGAGCTTCCTGACCCCTGCCTGTGCCGGGACAAGGAGGCTTTGACTCGGGTCCTACGTTGTCTGAGTCACCCGGCCTGAGACAAGGAGGGTGCCTGGCAGGCAGTCCACCACGGGGCTGTTGCAGGGCCGAGGGGAACGGTGTGTTGGGAGCTGGGGAAGAAGCAGATGAGAAGGGGCCGTTTGGGTTTGGCCCCCGCCACGTAGCTGCTGCAGGGCTGAGTGGAACGGTGTGTTGGGAGCTGGGGAAGGAGCAGATGGAAGGAGTCGTCCTGTTCATGCTCTGCAGAGATCCGTAGTGATTTGCTGGGCACGAGGCCTAGGGTTGACCAGACAGCCGAAGGGCAGGGGAAGCAGCAGGCAGGCAGGCAGTGTGGGTGCTGGGGAGAGCCGGGCTCTGCTGTGTCTGCAGCCAGCCTTGGGCCACAGTCTCGCTTGCTCCCTGGGCCAGCTGTGTGACCTTGGGCTAGTTAGTAACCCTCTCTGTGTCTCAGTGTCTTCATCTGAAAAGGGGGTCAGCGCTGCTGCAGTGCTAAGGAAGTGAGGTGCAGGAAGCAGCTAGGGCTGTGTCATCACTCTCCCATGCTGGCTTGCCCTCCTGGGGCCCTTCTCTGTCACCTTGCTCTGAGCAGCGAGGTGCATCAGCAGGCCTTGACGTGGGTGAGGGCTGCAACTGGCTCCTTGCGCGGGGCAGGAAGCAGGGGGGGGGCATCAGCAGGCTTGGACGGGGGTGGGGCCTGCCACTGGCTCGTGCCAGGTGCAGGGACACAGTGGACACGTGTTGGGACCCGAGACCACCTGCACTTCGTCAATTTGCTAGAGGGGCCCGCAGGACAGTGGGTGGTTTTACTAACAGCGGACGTTGATGACAGCAGTGACTGGGCAGCAGCTGCGCCAGTCCCATGGCCTGGTGGTTAAGGGAGCCAGCTTCTGTATGGCTGACCGCATGGTTCATATCCCTGCCTGGACACCTTGAGAAACACACCAGGTGCACGTGCCCAAGATCCCAGTAGGATGGAGAAGAGGAGAAGGGGCTGCGGTGAGACCACGCCCCATTAGGGTGGCTTCTCCCTGCCTTCTCCCCTCTCCTCCTCCCTGTCTCTTTGATGGGCACATGCACCTTCTGGCAATTAAAAACCAACAACAAAAGCACTAACAAAAAAATGCATCAACTAATTTTGACCTTTCTGCATAGGGAAATTAGAGACTCAGCACCCTGGCTTTTTACTGGGGACTGGTCTCCCAGGAACCCTCTGCTTTACACACAAGTTCCAGAAGCCTAGGCAGAACGCAGATGTTCAGCAGAACCCACGTCAGGTGCAGTCGAGGCACAGAGGAACACCCTCCTTTATCGTCGGCCAGCAACACCAGAAACCAGTTCACTGACGCCAGCCCAGGGCCGGCTTGCAGGAGGCCCACCTTGCAGGAGGCCCAGCTGTGGAGGCAGGCCCTTCTGATGACAGCAGCCCCTCCCACGTGGCTGCCAACCCACATTTCTATGGGAGTTACGTCTCTCCCAGTCTTCACCACCAAACACACAAGTTGATCTTCACACACTCCTGGAGAGATGGGGTTCAGGGTCAGCTGGCTGGAAGTGCCAGCTCAGGCCTGCCCAACAACCTTTGCTGTTTCTTTGTCAGCCTGGGAGTCCAGCTGTTGAGAGGCGTTATTTGCTGAGGCCCAAGAGCCAGCCACATTGTACTTGAGCCTGTTCTCCTTCAGCCCATTCCTGTGCCTGGCCTTGCACCCAGCAGTGCCCTTCGGGGCTGTCCAGTGGCCTCACCCCGTTACAGTTACCATGGATGACAGTGACCTTGTTCAGGCCCCCGCGTGCCCCTCTGCACTTGGGAGAAATAAGGCCTCTCCCAGCCTCGCTGTGCTTGATTCTGTGCCAGGGCAGTCCCCACGGAGCTGCCCTGGGTCAGGAACTGGGACCTGCCGTCGTTACCTCCCACTCTTCATCTTGGGCACACGGACAGCCTAGCCACACTGTAGAGGGGTGTCGCCCTCGGGCGCGGGGCTGTGGGTGGGCTGTGGCTCTGATGCCCTCCAGGTTGGCTGGCCACTCGTTCCTGAGTGAAGAGAGGTGCCGCCAGCAGGAGCTGCCTCTCCCCGAGGCCTGGCATCTGCACTGCTAGGAGCGGTGTCCTGCTCTCTCCCTGCCCTGTCTCAGGAGGACCCCGCGGGCCCAGGAGCCCCAGTCCCAGGAGGCACACTGGGCTGTGAGCACCCGACTGACCGCTCAGCCGGCAGGCGACGTCTGCATGAGGCCGTCTCAGGCCGTTTTCCTGCTGGCCGCCACCTGCATCAGAACCTCGCCTGACTACCTTCAGTGCCCAGGGGTGGCGACAGGCCGGGTCAGTGCCCACTCTGGCTGGGCACAGGGCCTCTGCTCAGCCGACCTTCGCTGCTCCCGCTGGGAGGAAAGCGACGGGTGGGCAGCTGCCCCTTGAGCCTAGCTCTATTGCACTCCTCGGCACCTTCCAGGCTTCCGTGCTCTCGATTCCCAGGGGCGGAGAGAGAACCAGTTGCTTGTCGGCCAGCTCACGCTGGGCTTGGTCTACTCGGAAGGATGGAAGGACGACACCTGGAGCAGGGGTGGGTCCTGCCCCTGCCCCCACCGTTCGCCCTGTTCTTGACGAAGCCCTTGTGGCCTCACAGCCCTTCCAGGAGGGTGCCCAGCCACACAGACCTGAGCCCTGCTCCGAGGAGCCTAGAGCACCGGATGCCGGGGAAAGGTGGACCCCTGCCTCATGGTTTTGGGTGGCGAGTCCTAGCCCAAGACCTTTGCAACTTGAGGAAAAGATGGTTTCCATCTAACGCCCAGAGGAAGGTGAGCATGCAGAGAGCTGGTGTATCGCTCAGAGCTACCACCAGGTGGCAGGCCATCGAGTCACTGCTCAGCCGGACGGTGGGGTTGATAGGTTTAGGGCTGTGGTTTCTAACTGGGGAAGTTTAGGGAAGTGTGTTTCACTCATAGGCGTTTTGGGGTTCCCAGCAGCTGCCACTGTCCCTTGGGGTCTTAACTCCTTTTCAGTGCGATCACTTGTATTCTTCACTAATACTGGACTAGAGCCCAGGAGCCCTGCACCGTGGGTGGGAGCGATGCTGACTGGGCACAGTTCTTGGTGGAGGGCTTGGGCGGGGCAGGCGGGGAGGCCGTCAAAGGCAGTTCTCTCTAAGTGCTCAGAGCTGGTCAGATAAGCTCTCAGTCCCTTTGAGCTAGGGCTGACGGGGAAGCTAAGAATGTGCTATTTACAGGGAAGCCCCCAGCTCAGAAATG